CTTTGTTGTTATTGTTAGTAATTCAAAATGTATAGGCCTACAGTGTTAATTTTGTTGTGAGGTAGCCTTGCTTTCAAGTAAGCTAGGCCTACTCTATCAGTTGTATACTGTCCACTCAAGCATAGCTTTGCTGCTGCTTAATATAAAAAGTCTAAGCCGTTGGGTGAGGGTTCTACAAAGCTAACATATATAATTGTTTTAAGATTGTCATACCATGGATCATTTAGCTATTTAATTTAGAATTTTAGGACCCCTTTAGGTATCCCAAAAATTTTTTTCAAAATGATTTGATAAAGTATTGAATTTGGCCTCTACTACTATAGCCCATAGACACACATTGAATTACACAGGAAGTTGGTGGCACCTTAATTGGGGAGGACAGGTTCGTGATAATGGCTGGAGCAGAATTAGTGGAATGGTTTCAAATACATGAAACACATGGTTTCCATGTGTTTTCTGCCATTCCATTCGCTCCGTTCCAGCCATTATTATGAGCCGTCCTCCCCTCAGCAGCCTCCACTAAATTGCAAAAAAAGACAGTAAAAAAATTAATCATAAGGAATAAGGTTTTGAAGTGTCTGTCCTATGTCTAGGAGATATAAGAAAGCTCAGGAAATATATATATTTTTTTTTTGGACGCATAGTTATCTCCTTATTTTTGTTGGCACAAAACTACCTCCATACTTCCATTCATTTCTATGGGTTACCTTCAGACAAGAGTCTCATATTTTCTTCGGGAGATTCTCATCTTTCCATAGAGTGGTCATATTAGTTTGTAGGCCAAACCATTCGGACGCTACAGGCGTTTTCGTGAGAAGGCCGATTTTCAGGATGTCTCATGGTCTGACAAATATTGCTGTAGCTCAGGCAACTTCCACCCGAGATGCGGAAGGCCGACATAGGTGGATGCAGTGGATTGAGACGCAGCCGATGCAAATAAACAGATACTGTATCTCTAGCTTAAACTGACAGATTTTGATTGGGATTTTTTTATTATGTTACTTAAATTTACACACGCACTTGACACAAAATTCCAGAGAGGGATCTTGCTAGTTATAGAGGTATGATCCAATTTGTAAGCATTACCAACAGAGTGAATGCGAAAATGATTTCAAATGTGTCGCCCTCTGCTGGTGATTTGCAGGATGTGCAATGATACAAGTAAAAAGAGGGCCGTGATTTCCTACTATGCCAATTTCTCTGTATAAATGTTCTTTTTCTAGTGATATGTAGCCAAAATAATATGAATGACATTTGATCTTTCAGTCATACAAGATTTTCTGTACGTGTGTTGTTCCCAACTTCCCGCCATAGAGCTAACAATTGGCCCCATTCACCATACAACCCTGCCCCAAGCACCACAAAACCCGCTGGCCGAGGCCTAGAGAGATCTCAGGTAAAGAGATGAGAAGTAGTTTAATTTGCATAACTGTATAAACGCTAAAGATTCTACATACTAGAAATAAGGGCATTCTGTTTTGTATTACATGTTCTCTGGTTTACAAGTTTGGGGGTTTATTTTCCCCTTATTATTTGTATTTCACAGTAACACCTACAGTCCACAATCTTAATTTACCATGATAGTTTCCCCAAAACATTTTATTTTCTTTCATTAGTTCAGAGTTTCCCAAACTCAGTCCTGGGCCCCCCAGAGGGTCCGTATAGCTCAGTATAGTTCCGCATTGACATGATTGGTTGACGGTAGGAGGGGGTGGGGGTTCTATATAAACACAAACTCACTTCCTTGACAACTTCCTTCACAACAGCTCTGCACTGCTCCGCGAAGCGGAAGTATGAATGCCCTGACTTCTGCAGAAGCCATATAACCATAAATGCTACATGGCCAATGCAGATGTCGGATTGAACATGCAGCACTTTTGATGCTTGATCCGATAATGTGGTCAGAGGCTCTATATGGAGGGTGTGACTCAATTGCGGAGCCTCCGGAGGCACGCAGAGGCCAAATTGAGCTCCGTACCGCATCGCAGAGCAAATTTTGCAGCGCCTTTTAAGGACCTAAAATCCCAGGAGCAGCTGGCATTGGAGTATGAATGCCAAGCATGGGAGATGGGTGTGACTTACATAGGGCTCCGTCCAACTCCTTCACGCCCTCCCACCGGTGCCTCTGTTGTAAACTCTTCACAATTGTGTTATGTGGTTGTCACTGAGTAGATTGATACCCCATTTCATGGATCCACAATTCATAGGTAAGGCTGAGGCTGTACAGTGCAATATAAATGTCCAATATGCATAGTAGGTTGACTGGTAAGCTTAATGTGGCTCACACACATTCAAAGTCCCGCAATAAGAGCTACGATGCTAATATTTGTGTAAACTCTTGACAGTTGTGTTCTGTAGATGTCACTGAGTAAACTGATACTCCATTTCATTGATCCACAATCCATAGGTAAGGCTGTACATTGAAATATAAGTATGCCCCCAATGCTACTCTGAAGTCTAATACATCCACACTGCGATTTCAACATTTGTATTTTTTCTCTTAAATTAACTAATTATTGTCTTTTGTTGAATTTATATAACAACTTTCCAACGTTGTTTAGCATTATCTAGTCCAAATATGGCATGATTCCACTATTTGTATCCATTTGCATGACTTTCAATGAGGGCCTTTTATTTTGAAGGCGAACCGCAAATTCCACTATTGTAGCTAATCCTTATTGTGGCTAGCTTCACATATGTCGGAGAGCGCTCTAATTCATGTATTGTCCGTTTGGGAGTGGCCTCTGTAGTAATAGTCCAGCCCCCTGAAAACAAACCATATTTTTAATAGCAATCCAGTATAGATATGGCGGAGTTGTAACTTTTGAGTATACAATATTTTTCCGAACCGGTTCTAAGCGTTGAAAGATGTTACAGATGTGATCGCCTACAGTCCAAGAAATCAGTGGAACTTGGTCAGATAAACTGGGATTTTTCAATAGAAACAGCTGCCTACTGCTACTCCTACAGACTACATTGGTTCAACGTCGTATAACGATACATAATTCGTCCTGTTTCGTCTGAGGTAAGAAGGAAATCGTCCCTTCAATCGCAACAAACTGTATAATTTTCATACAAGGATTATATTGTGAACACGGGTTAGAACGAGATTCAATTTCAGGAAAATAGGTCATTGTGTCTGCATAGGCTACTCACTGCTACAGTGTAGCATTGCTTCAATTGGTTGTGGAGTCAGTTGTTGGGGAAAACCTCGTGCAACTGCTACTAAGTGATACGAAAGCAGCTTTTTATTCAGCACGGTTGAGCAAATGGGACATATATTAATATTTTCATACATTACAATATGTATAAAAGATTTTACAATTTCGATACTTTTTTAAAGAGCTTGAGTGATGAGAAGGCCATGGAGGTGGGTCCTTCGATTTTAGGGCTTTTGTCTCGTGCCTGCTATAGAAACCATTCTAAAGATTTGCCACCAAATAAGGATAATATCGAGCATATCGAAACTTGGAATTTAACCTAAATGTATGAAATGTAGTTATTATGTTTGTTGATTATTGTCAACCATGCCTAGTGTTGCCTACGCTCCTAAACGTCCTTTGCATACGTAGCCTATGCATCGTGGCCATGTCATTGAAAATGTCACCAATATCTAATTACTGTAGCCTACTTTTGAAAGCATGGGAAAACTATTGTAGCCACATATTGGCAATGCTTTAGGAATAGTCTAATGTTGAAATGGACAATAATTACATTATTCCTTCTATCACAATAAGTAGCATTGTTATTGTCATCAATTACAGCCTCCAAATAGGAATAACTATTCATTCTTTGAGTGTGAAAATATGAGTGCATTTTAGTCATTTAGCAGACGCTCTTATCCAGAGCGACTTACAGTAGTGAGTGCATACATTTTAGTACTTTTTCGTACTGAGTGAGACTATTCACCAGTGGCTTACTCTGGCAGTCTAAACTACATATCATACACATATTTGATCTAGAATAGCTCAAAGACACCAACTTTCCAGGAAAGAAAAGCAAACCCAACTTTTCCTACAAATATAGCTACTTAGTCATTACTCCAGGATAAGGTTATTGAATAATAGATGGTTATTATGGTTTGTATAATTGCCTGGATAACTCAAAGATGCACTACATGCAAGCTTGGGAGAGAGAGGTACAGTAAACCAGGGATTGCATCCCAAATGGCACCCTATTCTCTATATAGTGAACTACCTTTGACCAGTGCACATAGGGTGCTGTTTGGGACATAATCTATGATAATATGCCAGTGGGTGGCTCATTACTGTGCAGTAGGTCAGAGTTTGCTGCATTGCAATCTACTAATGGGTTTCAAATGTTTCCCCACACTGCTTTGGCCAGCGACCATGTAAATCTATCATTCTGCTGTGTTTGGGATAAAAAAAATATGCTGAGAATGGATTTGACCAAAACGATATGATGATGTACTGCATTGGTTTATGTATCATTCAATTCAGTTAAGACAAGACAGTCCAGATGGGTAATCCTCCCAATAACACAAAACAAGTGATTTTATTACTGTATTTGAGGCTAACAGAACAGATTAGAACAGAACAGTTCACACTTCATTCTTCATAACCTCATACTGTAGACTAACAAAATGGTTCTTGGACATTATTTTGTTCTGACACAGTAATAAGGTATGTCTTGATTCTACATTAGTGGATGATTTGTTTGTCAATATGATTGTCAATATTGAGCTAATTGCTACTTATCTATAGTGTTGACTTGTTTTTATCTCTATGTCTTCATAACAGAACATGGGCCCAGAAGGAAATGTTTGAAGGAGGTACCTGTGATTTCTAGGAAGGTAAAGCATCCTTTTGATTGTGTCCGTTGGCTTGTAATTGACAAAGTGATGGAAGTACTATATGCTAATTTGTATGTGTGCATGCGTGTGTGTATCGTGTGTGATCAACTAATGGTTATTATGTGCATCACCTGCTTTGCTATAACCTATATCTTTACTTTTCAGACTGCAGGGTGGAACTTCCAGTATGGAGGCCACCAACATACTGCCCATTCTGAAGAAACGACTAGCTTTCTTGTCAGGTAATAATATGCTCCAATCAGTCGAAGCTGTTTATCTTTACTGTGACCGAGATGGCTTCTTGGAATGAACCGCACTGAATTTACATTGATAAGTGTAACATTACATTTACCATTGATCATCTTTACATAGAAATGCCCAACAGTAGTACTACTTTACAATGGTCCTCATGCAACTGGCCCAAGCACTTCCTGTGCTGCTTATTGAACATTCCCAGTCAGTGAAATAAGCGTACAGCAGTGACGTAGCATTATCAAGGAAGTAAAGGCAGGCAGAGTTGACTAAAAATTAACTTGAAGTTATGCATGCTTGTATAAATCCCAGGATTGTCAAGCTTTGTGTGTACCCCACATCTAACTCTCACTTTCCTCAAGTTGCTTAATCATTATAGCTGTTCAAGAGCACAACCATTTGAAGTTGCTGTGTTATTGTGGTCCTCTGTAGCTCAGCTGGTAGAGCACGGCGCTTCTAACGCCAAGGTAGTGGGTTCGATCCCCGGGACCACCCACACACAAAAATAAATGTATGCACGCATGACTGTAAGTCGCTTTGGATAAAAGCGTCTGCTAAATGGCATATTATATTATTTATTGATGTGCTTCTCATCCCTCTCTAGCCTCTGAAGGGTGTGTAGTGTTAGTCCTTGGTCTAGGTGTGTAGTGTTCGTCCTTGGTCTAGGTGTGTAGTGTTAGTCCTTGGTCTATGTGTGTAGTGTTAGTCCTTGGTCTATGTGTGTAGTGTTAGTCCTTGGTCTAGGTGTGTAGTGTTAGTCCTTGGTCTAGGTGTGTAGTGTTAGTCCTTGGTCTAGGTGTGTAGTGTTAGTCCTTGGTCTAGGTGTGTAGTGTTAGTCCTTGGTCTAGGTGTGTAGTGTTAGTCATTGGTCTAGGTGTGTAGTGTTAGTCATTGGTCTAGGTGTGTAGTGTTAGTCCTTGGTCTAGGTGTGTAGTGTTAGTCCTTGGTTGTCTGATAAATCCCCCTCTCTACTCTTTGCACTGGCAGGCAGTGTGTTGTGATGAAGGTGATAATAGCCTGTTGTTATGTCCTGCCTGCTGCTGGCAGAATGAGGTTTCTCATCATGTTGATGATGCTGATTTGAAGGTCACAGCACCAGGACTGCATCAGGGAGGGACTCTGTGTTCAGATACTGTTGAAGGTCTCATTGACTTACTAGGCACTAGATACACAACAAAAGGAGGGCTCTGGTCAAAAGTAGTGCACTACATAGGGACTAGGGCATTATTTGGGACGCATTCAGAGGCAGAGCTCCCACCATCATTACCGCTGTCCGTGGCGTTTACAAGACACTACTCCTCCTTTAATAGATTATTCTTGGCCGGCCGTACTTGGAATACTTGGTTCTGCCTGACCTTCTCCAAAGTCTGCCATTATATGACTGTTATTTTCCTCCCTAGTCAGTCCTCTTTACACACACTTTTTAGTGTGTATTCTTAGAAAATTCATTGTTAATGACTCGTACAATGAATCAGTGTAGATACCATAGAATTAGAAGGAGTAGAATGGGCTTGGAACCTCTGACCATGTCAATTTGACTGGTACACTCATGGGTACCCCCACTACGGTAGATACACTAGGTCTCTTTTGCGAAATAAATGTTATCTCAATGAGACTAACCTGTATAAATAAAGGTGAATAACAGTTACTTTTCTGGTTGTTTCACATTCACAGGAGGCAAGGACAGACGCAGTGGGCTGATCCTAACCATTCCACTATGTACAGAACAGACTAGTATGGAGGAGCTCAGCTCCACGTTGGACTACCTCCTCGGCATCCCCAGGTAAGAATCAATCACTGGCATACACCCCGCCCCAAAAAATAATGCTCCTTTATTATCTACAGTTCAATAGATCATTGTAATCATCATGCTTGTTAAGGTAGTCTACTTTTATTAGAAAATGTAATATGAGCAGAGAGCCTATCCTTTATCTGGCTGACATTCTATTCTCTTGCATAGCAACAGTATTGGACGCTCGTTAGACTCTGTTCTATTTGGATTGAGCTAGTTCTGCTACATGAGTGTGTAGGAGAGAAGACCAACATATTATGCTAAGGAGGATCATGCTGTGTTAGCTTGTGACTCCTGCATGATGATCACACACTTTCTGCTCTGTATTCATCTTGGCTTTATGGTCCTGTGTGGCTCAGTTAGTAAGAGCATGGCGCTAAGGTTGGGGTTCAATTCCCAGTGGAATGCTTGCCTCATCTACATATCTGATGCTGTCTTATATTGAGCTATACTGGGATCCTTGGTGTCCAATTCTTGGAACAAGAGCACACATTATTACAGGTAGACACATAATCACCATATTTCTCTTGTCTTCTCTCCTCTCTTTAGTGACAAGTGCAAAGCAAGAGGCTTCACAGTCATCGTGGATGGACGAAGGTCCCAGTGGAACATTGTGAAGACGGTGGTACTGATGTTGCAGGTAGGAACTGATAAAAGAAGGGGTTCATGTTGCAGGTAGGACACAGAGAATCAGCACTGTGTTCCTTTTAGGATAAAAGCACAGTTTACCCCACACTGCATCGAGACGAGAGGTCCATATTTCTGTGTATCAAACGGAGGAACACCCGTCAAAAACATGACACCTACAACTCATTTCAATCTACAGTCTTCATCTTCTACTGCGTTTGGAATGTATAGTGGAATACATGACAGTCATCTGTACAGTAGAGAGTACTAGAAAACATCCTCTACAGTTTGACAGCATGATGTCTCATATCAGACATGGAGTTTATTGCAATCAGTCAGTCACTATTGTCTCTGTTCTACTTTGCATAGAAACAGTCAGGAAAATAAAGCATTCTGCTATAACAGACTCGTGATCACACACACCAAAGGCTAGTTAAGAAGACGATTCCAATGCCATGCTTTGTTGTATAAAAAATACTGTCTGTAGCGGGGGGTTGAGCTGAGGAGTGAGGATATAAAAATACTTTCACATGATGATGTGTTCTGTTCCCAATGGCCTATTTAACAATGTTCAGTAGATTTAACTCTTTAAAACCAACGTCTCTCAATCTATAATCATCCTAGTGAATAATCATGAGTGTAATGATTAATTAGCGCAGGATAGAGGAGCATATGTCTGAGTGAGAAGCAGATGTGGACATGGATCCAGGTCTACTTCCACCACATTAACACCTCTCTACCAATCAGAACATGACAATGCTGGGAGGAGAAATAAAATGGTGGTCCAACCCAGATGTTGCTTTCTGTGTCTCGTCTCTGTTGACCCTACCTGCAATAATAACCCTCCAAATGCCGTTAAACATTACAGTGAGGAGCTATGGAGCCAAATCTGGTGCAATATGCATTGTGCATGGTCCCTAAAAAAATGAAATAGAAATAGACATCTCAGATCAAATGCTTCGCCAGCAATCAAGTGAGAAGTGATTAAGACAAAAAGGAATCTAAGCTGATTAGATGTTAAGAAGAGTAGGCATTAGATCTCTTGATGAGGCTGCCTGATTATACCTTTAAACAATACTTAGTGTTTTTCCCTGAAGTCCAGGCTCTGTGTTGTGCTAATTAGGGCACACTAGTAAAACATTTTAAACCATTGTCCCTCACTGTTTTAGGCATTTTCTTCCATTTGATGCCTAATGAACAGGATCCAGGCTCTGACCTCCATCCACTCTGCAGTGTGGCCTATGTCAGCAGACAGGCTGAGCTCTGTCTGTCTCTGCTGTATTCTGCAGTCTGTCTGCCGCAGACCTGGGTTCAAATACTATTTGAAATAATTAAAAATACTTTAGCTGTGCTTGTTTGAGCTTGCTTGGCTTAATGAATAGTCCCAAAACTGTAAAGCCTGCCCATCTGGCACTCTAGGCATGCTAGAGCAAACGCTCAAGGTATTTGAAAGATTTAAAATACTATTTGAACCCAGGTCTGCTGTACTGTAGTCTGCATTCTGCCCTGACCTGGTTTTGTCATTGCAGATTGACTATACGGTGTAAAATGCTCTTGGTAGATATCTCCAGTCCCCTGCTATCCATAGACCTCTGCAGAAACAGGAGCAGGAAAGATGGGATGACAGTATGAAATGTACTATCTGTTGACACACTAATCTGCCTGCCACTGTCTGGGGAAAACGCTGCTGCAAGCTACTCCTCATTTAGTTGCCTACCATGTGATGTGATGGGGAATTTCACTGCAGGATTTCATAGAAAAACTGTGATGTGCTACACTGTTATTGAAAAAAAAGTACATGTTATGGTGGTTTATGTTATGTTAAATTACAGTTGCTGATGGTTTATAAGATTTTTGTAAGCATACCTTCAAATTGAGTGATACTTAAAAGTGCAGCGTTTCCCCTAAGATTTTTTTTCAGCAGCGTTGGCAAAGTTAGCGTGGGAGGGAGGGGGGGGGGGGGGTAGTGGGTGTGGCCAATGGCGCAGTTTTAGAGGCCTTCCTCTCATGGACTGTGATAAAAATTGCAGTTTCAAAGCAAATTTCCTGCAATTATACACATTTTGTCATGGCTTATGCCTTGTCCTTATGTGATTTGAGTGACTCAAACATTATAACAAAATCAATGGGGGTCCGATGCCATGACATTTTTGAACTTTTAGGACCTCCCTGACTGTCTAGTTTTTATTTTGGTGATTGTTAGTTCTCAAAGATTTTCTTATAAAAAAATATATTGCTCCATTATCTTTCCTACATGCTTTATATCTGGTTTAAGTTTACACTGAAAAGGTTTTTACCATCCCGAAAACTATAAAAAATAAAGTTTTCTTAAATGGAATTTAAAAAAAAAAAATTTTGCAGTGGCGGCCACCATTTAGTGGTGCGCCGCTGCTAAATGCATATAGGGAAATCACTGAAGTGTTTTGGGGATGACATTTCTGTCTCTGGAATTGAATGTGTCCAATAAACCATTGAAAGCCTTTTACCATTTAGCTTCTTTTTGTATATAATTTTTTATATCCCATTATTTCTAGAACGTGATTCCAGCAGAGGTGTCTCTGGTGTGTGTGGTGAAGCCTGATGAATTCTGGGACAAGAAGGTCACTCATTTCTGCTTCTGGAAGGAGAAGGACAGACTAGGCTTTGAGGTGAGTGAGTGATACTTAAAAGTGCAGTGTTTTCCCTAAGATTTTTTTTCAGCAGTGTTGGCAAAGTTAGCGTGGGAGGGGGGGGGGGGTAGTGGGTGTGGCCAATGGCGCAGTTTTAGAGTCACTAGGGGACACGTTCTTCTTATTCCTCTCTTTCTATCTTGCTATGTCTATGTGTTTGCCTCTGCCTTTCTCTCTCTCTCCTTTCTCTCTCTCTCCTTTCTCTCTCTCTCCTAATAATGTTGTTCCTCTGAGCAGCAGCATCCCCAGCCACCTCCCAGGGGGACTAATTATGGCCGGAATTCAATTTACTTTCCTTCACAAACCAATGATTCCAATGTTGGTGGTTGGGCGGTATACAAATTGATAGAGAGGAATAGATATTTCATTCAGTCAGTATTCAATTTGGCATTGTGTGCTGTATAGGTAACTCCTATGGTTGTTGTTATTGCAATGGCTAGTGATTTCTAGTGATCTTCGCTGGTTCTTTTGTGGTTGCCCACTCCACAACAGCACTCAAATATAGCCAATAAACCCCCAGAGGAATTGCTGACAACATGTTATAGACCAATATGCATATTTGAATCTGTCAATTGTGGCTGATAGATAGATGACCAAGGTCTGTTGTAGACCGCATGGCAGCATTTGTCTATTTTAAGTGCACTGTGTGGTGATTTAAAAGGTAGACCTTTATGACTGGAAGTCATCATTGTATCCGAAAATTCATGCATCCTGCAATATTCCAACCTCCCATATGGCTTTAGTCATCTCTTCCTGAAGGATTTATATTAATAGAGGGGTGGGACACACACACACCTCAAGTTTCTATTTCTCTGTTCTCAGAATACCCCTCACAACAGAATGATAGTAATGGAAGTATGGTGGAAGGATACAGGCTAGTTTGTTTGGTAGTAATGGGGTGGCAGGTAGCTTAGTGGTTAAGAGCGTTGTGCCAGTAACCGAAAGGTCGCTGGTTTTAATCCCCGAGCCGACTAGGTGAAAAATATGTCGATGTGCCCTTGAGCAAGGCACTTAACCCTAATTGCTCCTGTAAGTCGCTCTGGATAAGAGCGTCTGCTAAATGACTAAAATGTAAATGTAATGGAAGTATGGAGTAGGAATACGTGGTAATAGTTAGTCTGACCTGTCTGCAGCATGGTCTCCTTCAGCGTGGACTAATACTATCATCATGTTGCTTGGCAACAGTCATGTGGATCCAGAGCAGATGCAGGCTGCAGTATACATGTGTCTCTTAGAAGGACAGAAAGATTAGTGTCTCCAGCATCGTCACTGTGTCCGTGTGTGTGCCTCTGTCCGTGTGTGTGGAAAGAGTGTCCTGACACTGACACTAATTCCCGAGGTCTTTGTTGTTGTTTTTGCTTCCAACAGTTCTGTAATGATCTGGGCCAGCAGTACCCTCTAGCTCTCCCTCCCTATAACTCCCGTGCTTCACCAGATGGCTCTGTTAGATGGTTGAGGTGGTCAATTTATTGGTTTTTGGAAATGAAAGGGAATTGGGGGAAAATACTTGGAAATTGTGAAATTGACCTAGATTAGATAGGGTGGATAAGGTGCTTTTATTAATCTAACGTTACTGTTGAGAATGAAATATCTTTGAACTAAGTGGTTGGCTGAAATGTATTGGGCTCTACTGCCCAGAACCAATCTGGCATGAACACCGGAGCATATGGAAATGTAACAGGGCATGAAAACCCAGCAGAAGGAGTGAAGTCTCACTCGTAGTGCCTGCCACCTCAATCTCAAGGAACTAGCTATTTGGTATGTTCGATATGGACTGCATTTCAAATCACCTTGCACCATGTACTGATTATTATTTGTATATCAGTCAGTAAGTCACAATTTACACATAATACATCATAGATTTGATGCTCTCGAACAAGGCCATTCTATTCTGAGGGGACACGTTCTTCTGTTAATGGAACAATCTCACAGTGAGACAAAGCAACACTTATGGTAGAGAGCTGACTCACTGAGACGCAGCTAAACAATAACGCCACTGTGGTTTTAAACCCTGACACAAAATGCTCTGCTTGATTTGCCATTCCGTTTAAAAGTACAACATTTAGGATTGTGAGCTCACACAAAACACCCCTCGATATGCCTTTCAGTTTCAAAGCACTTCGATTAGGATGGTGAGCTAAGCTTATACCCCATCATATTTGAAAAGCATCTCAGAGTAGGAGTGTTGATCTAGGATCAGTTTTTCCTTTTAGATCATAATGAGTCAGATTATATGGACAGGTCCTAGATCAGCACCCCTACTCTGTGACTGTATGAATACATGCCCAGAGAGGGATAGGTTGTCTCTATCCAGATGTAATTTGATACATACTGGGCTGTGGAAGAGAAGTGATGGGATGGGTCTGTTATTACTTATGTTTTTCTTACTGCTTCTCTTTCGGAGGTTGACAATCTGACATCATCATTGTCACGAGAACCTTCAGGCTACAGTTTTCTTCCTTGTTATTTGGAGGCTAATTGCGAAATAAATGCACATGCAAACAGAAAGCCTGTGTGTTTGTGTATGTGTGTGATTCTCCTGACCTTGTTAGTCATATGCAGATGAAGAGGCCTCTATCGATTCCACACGACAATGTGGATTGATGTACACACACGCACACACACACACACACTAGGGATTGATTTACATCCATTAATATTTATCAACGAGTCAGTCAGTCTGCATGTGGAGAAATGTTAATAATCAGAATTAGCATCATGTCTATTTCATGTGTGGTTTTCACTGCAGCATGATGATGATTGTATATGTGTATGTGCATCTCTGTAGAGACCGAAACAAAACATTAGCATTATGATAGCCTCTAACTACACAGTTGTTCAGGGTTGATGCCTCTAACTATATAGTTCTCCAGGGTTGATGGTTGATGGCATTGTAGATGGAGTGTGTGTTTAGCATCTTACGGCCAACATTGAGGATGTGTACAAGGGGCCACTCTGGTTTCTGCTTTCAGATTGTGATGCGGTTGGTCGGAGCTAGGATGTGTTATGTTCAGGGTCACCATACCGGGGGGGATTTAAAAGGAGAGTATGTAATTATGCAAATCTTGATTAAAAACAAACCATCCAGATTATGGTAGACTGCTGAGAATTTGGGATACAGAGGGTTCACTTGTATTTGGGCTTAAGCTCTCTCATCTCTTTATTCATGTTGCACATGCTCTCACTTTAATCTTCTGGGTGAGGGGAGTATGAGTTATGTCTCTGTGTGTACAGGTTAGGATGAGTAATATCTGATATTCATTGAGTAATATTCACAGCATAGACTGGTGAGGAATCACAACATAGTGATAATACAAGATATCTATTTTTCACTTTACACTCCATTGGTGCCTGCACTTTGTACTCCAAACAACCAGGTATGGCTGCCAGATAGATCAGTCTCAACAAACACACCCACACATGACATCAGACAGGCAGATATCATGATGAGAATTGACGTTATTTGGAGATCTTGATGTAAATATTTTCAGGACGTATCCAGGATGTGTTTGTGTTGAGGACTGGAGTTCAGGGCCCGTATTCATAAAGCATCTCAAAGTATGAGTGCTGATCTAGAATGAGAAAGGCAAAACTGATCTTTGTGAATATGGGCCCTAGTCTCTCTGTCACAGGTGGAAAACACTCTGCTGTGTTCATCTCATCTGTAGGGGCTCCCGCGTGGTGCAGTGGTCTAAGGCACTGCATCTCAGCGATAGAGCCGTCACAACAGACCCTGGTTCGATTCCAGGCTGTATCACAATCCGGCCGTGATTGGGAGTCCCATAGGGCGGTGCATAATTGGCCCAGCGTCGTCCGGGTTTGGCCGGGGTAGGCTGTCATTGTAAATAAGAATTTGTTCTTAACTGACTTGCCTATTTAAATAAAAAACATCTAAACAGGCCTGTATTTGGAAGGAGGAAGGATGAGTCCGAGAGAGATAGGAGGAACAGCCGTGGAGGATAACAGGCAGGGCTTACAGAGAGACATGGCTCTCCCAGAATCTTATTCCAGATGTACATGTATTTGTATTCCTATTCCAGATTTCAATCCCTATCTAGTTTGTCTGGGTCGTCAACATTGATGTGTCAAACTGAAAACTTTATTCCTATCTAGTTAGTGTGAGTTGTTAACGTTCAAAAGTTGTTAACTTTATCCAGTATGCGAGGCCATCACACAAGGCCACCAGCTGTGTTTAGGTCTTGCTCCGCTTGACCAATTGTTTCTACATTTTAAGAAGGTGAGTCATGCATTTATACTGTCCAAACTTGGATGGTATTAGCGTGATGATAAAATCATTAAATTCCTTAATCCACAGTGGGGATTGAATAACTGGCTCTGACCCTGTCTCTCTGTTCTCTTGTTCCAGGTTATTCTGGTGTCTGCCAATAAGCTCACACGCTACATCGAGCCCTGTCAGCTGACTGATGAGTTCGGAGGAAGTTTAGTGTATGATCACATGGACTGGGTGAACAAAAGACTGGTAAGCCTAGCTGCCATTTTAAAGGGACACTTCGGGATTTTGGCAATGAGGCCCTTTTATCTACTTCCCCAGAGTCCATTTGTATGTCTCTGTGTCCAGTATGAAGGAAGTTAGAGGTAGTATCATGAGCTAATGCACCGTGACTGTGTACAATAGCACGCATTTGGATGTCACATTTGAATCCTAAAGATGAATGTCCATTTTTTTGAAAATGTATATAACAATGATACATTGTTTTGCAGGGTTGGGGTCAATTCCAGTAAATTCAGGAAGTACATTGACATTCCCATTCTCTTGCTTTTGCATGAGGAACATTTTGAATTTGGTTTACTTTCCGAATTGAAATGGAATTGACCCCAACCCTGTTGTTATGTGACAAACATACATGTACATTGTTACACATTTGTTCCTCCACAGGTCTTTGAGAAGTTTACCAAAGAGTCCACGTCCCTTCTAGATGAGCTAGTGGTCATCAACGAGAGTGAGAAAAGCAACCAATTAGACAAAGAAAGGTATTTATTTTGCCAACATATTGACTATTATATCTATTTTTGCTCTAAGTATCCATGATTGAGGAAAGGAATTGAACATATAGGCCAGTAAACACATTGCTTACTTATCTTTCTCCCAGGCCACCAGATTGTAACTTCCTACCATCAGTTGATCCTGAAACAGTTCTACAAACCGGTAAATATACCAATCTTTGTGCATATGTCATTTGTTAATACAAATAGCTGAATCCAGGTAGCCTAGCTAGTAGAGCTGTGTGTTTCTAAACCAGTCTGGGGTCCATTTAAGTTGAATGGTACAGGATGCAGAGATGATTTGATGTTAAAATGTTAACCACCGTGTTAACCACCGTGCACGCCACCAGCAGAGAAGACATTTTCCACTCTGCGTAACCCTTCAGTAAACAGACTCCTAGGGTGCGTCCCAAATGGCACCCAGTAGTTTTATTTGCAGGCCTCGTGGCGAGTAGTGTGTCACTTAAACAGTTTTACTATAGTGAAAATATTTACCCATTCAGAGGAAGGCCATAGCAGAGCTGGGGCTGCGTCCCAAATGGCACCTTATTCCCTTTATAGTGCACTACGTTTGACCTGGGCCCATAGGTCTCTGGTCAAAAGTACTGCACTATAAAGGGAATAGGGTGCAATATGGGATGCAACCCTAGAATGCCAGCACATAGCAGAGTTGTCCCAATAAAAGGAGCATTGTCTGGTGGTTGTGGAATGGATGGTCAGCTCAACGCGTCTCTGGTACTGTGCTTCCCACAGAAGAACTTACTCTGGCTATGTCCCAAATTGCATCCTATTCCCTACATAGTGCACTACTTTTGACCAGAAACCTATGGGCCTTTGTTAAAAGTAGTGCATTATATCGAGAATAGGGTGCAATTTCGTATACTTCCTACACAACGCCTGATGCTCTCTCTCTCTCACTCTCACTCCCTCTCTCTGAGCGAATGCCTTGCATAATGAATAAGGAGAGGGATGGGCTGCCCTGTCAGTCTTGTTTGTGTTGTTACAGGCACAACAGCCAGGCTAGGAGATACAGCATGAGCTAGAATAAGAGCATGCATATGATATAAAAACAATACTCTGTCCTATTTGTTGTGTTTTGTTATCAAAGAATGGACTTGGAAGGCTTTCCAGTGTAATTAATCTCTGTTTAAAGAGGTTGGGATGCTGTTGATGTTGGTATTATAAATACATGAATAGCAATATTTCCCCTGAAGTACTACTCCACAAATAATGCACCTCTGAGATGGATTTTGCATCTTAATGGCTGACATGGAGGAACTTGCTGTCATCCACATACTGAACTGTAGTACACATCTCTCTCTCTCTCTGGCTGTCTCTCTCTCTCTCTCTCTCTCTGGCTGTCTCTCTCTCTCTGACTGTCTCTCTCTCTCTGGCTGTCTCTCTCTCTCTTTCTCTCTCTCTGGCTGGCTGTCTCTCTCTCTCTTTCTCTCTCTCTGGCTGGCTGTCTCTCTCTGGCTGTCTCTCTCTCTCTGGCTGTCTCTCTCTCTCTGGCTGTCTCTCTCTCTCTGGCTGTCTCTCTCTCTGGCTGTCTCTCTCTCTTTGGCTGTCTCTCTCTCTCTGGCTGTCTCTCTCTCTGGCTGTCTCGCTCTCTCTGGCTGTCTCGCTCTCTCTGGCTGTCTCACTCTCTATGGCTGTCTCTTTGGCTTCCATCAAAATACATTTCAATGGCATCTTATTGAATCTTCTCTCCACTTATCTATTTCACATATCCACACCCTCTCTTTCTACCTTTATCTCTCTCTCTCTTTCTCCCACTATCACCCCCTATTTTCTCTCTCTTTCATTATCTCCCCCTGTCACTACCATTCCCCCTCTGACCATCTCCGTCTCCTCTCTCCCCTCCAGGCCACGAGTTGCTGTCGGAGCTGCAGCAGCGGAGGTTTAATGGGTCAGAAGGAGGTGGTGTGGCCTGGTCCCCCATGGATGATGAGCTACTGGCCCAGCCACAGGTACAATAGAATAACCCCAGAGGGAACTTCAGTTATGGCAAGTCGGATAAGATGTAAAGATATACAGTACCAGTCAAAAGTTTGGACACACCTACTCATTCAAGGGTTTTTCTTTATTTTTACTATTTTCTACATTGTAGAATAATAGTGAAGACATCAAAACTATGAAATAACACATATGGAATCATGTAGTAACCAAAAAAGTGTAAAACAAATCTAAATATATGTTATATTTCAGATTCTTCAAATAGCCACCCTTTGCCTTGATGACAGCTTTGCACACTCTTGGCATTCTCTCAACCAGCTTCATGAGGTAGTCATCTGGAATGCATTTCAATTAACAGGTGTGCCTTCATAAATGCGTTTGAGCCAATCAGTTGTTTTGTGACAAGGTAGGGGGGGTATACAGAAGATAGCCCTATTTGGTTAAAGACCAAGTCCATATTATGACAAGAACAGCTCAAATAAGCAAAGAGAAACAACAGTCCATCATTACTTTAAGACATGAAGGTCAGTCAATACGGAAAATTTCAAGAACTTGAAAGTTTCTTCAAGTGCAGTCGCAAAAACCATCAAGCGCTATGATGAAAGTGGCTCTCATGAGGACCGCCACAGGAATGGAAGACCCAGAGTTACCTCTGCTGCAGAGGATAAGTTCATTAGAGTTAGCAGTCTCAGAAATTGCAGCCCAAATAAATGCTTCACAGAGTTCAAGTAACAGTCACATCTCAACATCAATTGTTCAGAGGAGACTGCGTGAATCAGGCCTTCATGGTCAAATTGCTGCAAAGAAACCACTACTAAAGAACACCAATAAGAAGAAGAGACTTGCTTGGGCCAAGAAACACGAGCATTGGACATTAGACCGGTGGAAATTTGTCCTTTGGTCTAGAGTCCAAATTTGAGATTTTTGGTTCCAACCGCCGTGGCTTTGTGAGACGCGGTGTGGGTGAACGGATTATTTCCGCATGTGTATTTCCCACCGTAAAGCATGGACGAGGAGGTGTTATGGTGTGGGGGTGCTTTGCTGGTGACACTGTCTGTGATTTATTTAGAATTTAAGGCACACTTAATCAGCATGGCTACCACAGCATTCTGCAGCGATACGCCATCCCATCTGGTTTGGGCTTAGTGGGACTATCATTTGTTTTTCAACAGGACAATGACCCAACACACCTCCAGGCTGTGTAAGGGCTATTTGACCAAGAAGGAGAGTGATGGAGTGCTGCATCAGATGACCTGGCCTCCACAATCCCCCGAACTCAACCCAATTGAAATGGTTTGGGATGAGTCAGACGGCAGAGTAAAGGAAAAGCAGCCAACAAGTGCTCAGCATATGTGGGAACTCCATCAAGACTGTTGGAAAAGCATTCCAGGTGAAGCTGGTTGAGAGAATGCCAAGACTGTGCAAAGCTGTCATCAAGGCAAAGGGTGTCTATTTGAAGAACTTTTTTGGTTATTACATGATTCCATGTGTGTTATTTCATAGTTTTGATGTCTTCACTATTATTCTATAATGTAGAAAATAGTAAAAATAATTAAAATCCTTTAAATGAGTAGGTGTGTCCAAACTTTTGACTGGTACTGTATAGTAAACATATAACAGCAAAATTCACACATAACATGCAAATACTATACAAGATACTGTATATACAAGATAAACTATTATTTCAGGTCATGAAGCTGCTGGACTCCCTCAGGGAACAGTACACCAAGTACCAGGAGGTGTGTCGCCAACGCAGCAAACGATCCCAGCTGGAGGAGATACAGACCAAGGTCATGCAGGTACTGCACACACTGCCCTATGATATCACAGTCTGCACACACTGCCCTATGATATCACAGTCTGCACATGAGCTGGTCACTGCACACACTGCCCTATGATATCACAGGCTGCACATGAGCTGGTCACTGCACACACTGCCCTATGATATCACAGTCTGCACATGAGCTGGTCACTGCACACACTGCCCTATGATATCACAGTCTGCACATGAGCTGGTCACTGCACACACTGCCCTATGATATCACAGTCTGCACATGAGCTGGTCACTGCACACACTGCCCTATGATATCACTCACTGGACACATACTGAACACACACACACCAACATACTACACACACCCAAACACACTGCACAATGCCAACACATTGCAGTGCACACACACACAGCCCAATGACATCATCAACACCAGCCTAGTGCCCTACACACACTGCCCTAATGGCAACACCAGCATAGTGAAATACTGATGCCAGGATTCAAACAAACGCAGATTACAGACATCGCACTGCCTTGACTTTAGTCCAATACCTTCATCAACAGCAGCCTAATGACCAGACTGAGAGAGACAAGTGTAGAATAAAGCTTCTCTTTTGTCCATTGTGTTCTGCACTTTGTCTCAGAGAGGTTTACAAGCTACACACCAACAGGATTTCATGAGGATCAGTTCACCAGGCACCTGGAAGACCCAGTGGTTGTGAGACGCAGAGGCTACTGTATGAGAGCCTTCTTCAACATAACTTGTTTTTCTTCTTCAGTGGAGTTTTAAAGCCAGACTCCGGTGATAAATTGCCGTAGCCCTTTACACACGTCACCATATAAGGGTTGAAAAGGGCAGATTTGGACACTGATAAGAGCCTAAATTGGAATGCAGTGACTGTATAGTAACATGCTATACATGACATCAGAGATCAGGGTCTTCGCTTCACAGCTCTGTAATGGTTTTGACGACAGACATTCTGAACTTGAGCACCGCGCGTGACAAGAAGTTGCCCCCATCCCTCCAGCTAACTGGGCAACTTTTTGTTGTCTGAGTGAGGGAAATGCTGTAAATTACGAGGACTCTATGTATTTTGTCCCCCCCCCATTTTGCCCTCAGAACAGCCTCAATTCATCGGGGCATGGACTCCACAAGGTGTCGAAAGCGTTCCACAGGGATGCTGGCCCATGTTCATTCGAATGCTTCCCACAGTTGTGTCAAGTTGGCTGGATGTCCTTTGGGTGGTGGACCATTCTTGATACACACGGGAAACTGTTGAGCGTAAAAAACCCAGCAGCACATACTACCATACCCCGATCAAAGGCACTTAAATATTTTGTTTGCCCATTCACCCTCTCAATGGCACACATTCTCAATTGTCTCAAGGCTTAAAACTCCTTCTTTAACCTGTCTCTTCCCCTTCATCTACACTGATTGAAGTGAATTTAACAAATTACATCAATATGGGATCATAGCTTTCACCTGGATTCACCTGGTTAGTCTGTGTCATGGAAAGAGCAGGTGTTCTTAATGTTTTGTATACTCAGTTATACACAATCACTATGTTTGATGTACAGTTACAGGATGACATGGTGTTATACCCTGGGTTGTCCTGAACAGAATGAGCCTGTTTGTTGTATTGGGAAGAAAACTGCGCATCAGAATGCACTCATGACCAAAATTACCATCTTCTTATCTGAATTGCCTTGTGAAAGCCTAAAACTGTAAGATTGTATTTTATAATTTAGCTAGTCGTGTTGGCAATAGAATAAGCTTTCAAATTATGCCCACCTGACCCAGATTGTGATTTATAACGGACCGTTCTTGGGTATTGCGTAAACATCAACAGTAATTGTGTAAAGGCGTGGATGCAGGGCTGTGTGTTCCTCAACGACACGAGAGCTCAAAAAAGCACCTAAAAAAGCACCTTATAGTTGAGTCATAAAAGTGCAGTGAAATGACTTAAGAACTGTGCACACTTTGGAGAGGTGTGTGGCCACTTTGAAACACCAGTTAGAACTCACTCAAACTCTTGTAATTTTTTGTTGCACTTAGCCGCAATTTTCCAAGAATATTCTTATGTTGCTGAATGTATCCAGAATATTTTCTGATTTTGTTATCAACAAATGTAAATGTAAAATGCACATAAAATCAACAGTGTAATGTTTGGATTCAGTCTTGTCAGGTGAACTGTTGTCGTCACCTTTAGTCTAATACTTTTCCCATAATCTCCAAACTGTTCCCTTTTAATTTCTACCATGGTTATGCATTCCATATTTCTTCTGTAAGAAACATTTCAATTTAGCCCTATCCATGAAGCCAATTCCCATGATTGTAAGGGGTTAAATGTCCACAATGTAACCAACTGGTATCAAACCCAGGTTATTAGGGTAACGAATTCACATTCCAGTGTCAGCTGTACATACCACTGGATGGAAAAACTAACTTCCAACTGTTGACGTCTAGTCTCAGGCAGGTGTGTGTACAAAATGGCACCCTGTTCCCTAGTGGGCCCTGGTCAAAAGTAGTGGGACCTGGCCAAAAGTAGTGCACTATATAGGGAAAGGGTGGTCATTTGAGACAAAGCCAGGGTGAGCAGTCAGCACACATGGGTATATCTCAGCACACTTCCTCCTTGGCAGCTGGCACTACCTCATTTCCTGTCTGTAACCATGAAGGGAAATGCCTTTTCTCCCATTGGCCGATAGATTTAACTCTACTTTAGCATATAAAACAGTGGTTCCCCGTACCCCGTCATGTGCAACTGATCATTTGGCCTATGTTCTTATTAGTCTTCCCATATAGGCTACCACCTGTCGATTTGCCTGGTACCCTTAGGGGTACTAGTACCCCAGGCTGAGAACCACTGATCTAAAGATGTCAGCATTGTGAATGTTTTCCAATGCAAAAGGAAGTTATAAGGAAGTGAACAGATCCTGAGATATGATGTGATGTGTTCCATGGAATGGATGGATTCTATTTTAGATTCTAGATCCTAACGGAATGAGCAGTCTGTTGCTATGGTGATGAAGATGTTGTTCAGTAGGCAGCCGTAGGATGATGGATTAGTTTGGCTAGGGGAGTTTGGCCTAGTTCTTATCTGCTGGGAGTAGAGATGTAGTGCTGTGTAGCGAGTGGGGGAGTAGTTTGTAAGCTGTATTGCTCCGAGCTATATAGGAGACAGGCGGGAGAATTGCTTAGCAAGGCTAAAGGATGATGCAGAAGAAGTCAAACTCAACACACTGAACTATTTGGTCATCCCTCTTTCAAAATTCAGTGGATTCTAACACCTCTTCTTGATCATCCCTAACTAATGCTGTATTTGAACCAGATGTTGAATTAGATTTATCATGATATCCTTATCTTGTCCTGAGATGTCAGTTTCAAGTAGACACACACAGAAAACATTAGTACAATATATCGTGAACAATATTTACTTTATAGGTAACGTGGCAAAATATTTGGCTGTGCTGACACATGGTGCACTATTTGAACAATGAGCCTCATTATACAACATTTTCAATGTCAATACATGCTTTATACGCGTTGTCACCTGCTAGCTTTTAAGGAAAGTGTTACGCCATTGAAACCCCACACTGATTTAAATTTGTTCCAACCAATAAGGGACCTCCGATACCTGGAAAGTAGTTCATTGGTGGGCCTGGAGGAAGTGATGAAGCATTTATTAATGATTGTGTCCAATCGGGGATCTCACAGATACCTGGAAGATATTTGATTGGTTGATCCTGGGGTGTCTGAGTGATGAAGCGTGTTAATGGGGTCTTTCTCTTTCTTGTTGCTATGCAGGTTGTGAATTGGCTGGAGGGGCCTGGCACAGAGCAGCTCCGAACACAGTGGGGGATCGGAGATTCCATCAGGGCCTCACAGGCCCTGCAGCAGAAACACGAGGAGATAGAGAGCCAACACAGCGTAAGGACAGAATAAAACAACAGACACAAAACAACAGACGCAACACAACATAATGCAATACAATACAACACAATACCACATTACACAAGACACATAATTGGCCAACAGACACAACCCATCCATACAGCAGAAACACAAGGAGATAGAGAGCAAACACAGCGTAAGGACACCAGACACGATAACACAACAGACACGATAACACAACAGACACGATAACACAACAGACACAGCTCTATTACACCACTCCTTGTTCAATGTTCATACTTACTCACAGAGATGAGAAGAGTTGTGGAGATAGATAGCTGCTAGTTCTCTCTCTCTCTGCAGTAGAAGTACGTGTCTTGAAGAGCCCAATAATTAGGTCACTGAATATGATTATGGATTTAGATTGTTAGGAAGAATCTGTTAGCTGCCAGGAGACGTACTGTAGTGAAGGCACTAGGCAGAAGACGTACTGTTCTGTAACTGTTTTTTCATAGATCAGTACTCTCTGGGCTGAGGAGCAGGGGCAAAGCAGTACTAGACTAAAACTATGGAGTAAAACTGATGTAGGTAAACCATTGAAGTAAATAAGGTACAATGTTTACATCTGGAAAAGGCTTGTGTGATTTCACTAACAAAACAACAGCTGGCATTAGTATTTTCCTGCTCAATCACCAGATTCAGGCCAGGCCAGGAAGTGACTGCAGCAGCAACAGCTGTGGGATATAACGAATGTCTCCCCTGGCTGGGTTTATATAAAAGACCCTGATGAATCATTGCTCTGGGCTGGAGCGTGCCCTGGTGACGGAAACAGAGAAAGCCGGCAAGGGTGTATACAGTGGGGGAAAAAAGTATTTAGTCAGCCACCAATTGTGCAAGTTCTCCCACTTAAAAAGATGAGAGAGGCCTGTAATTTTCATCATAGGTACATGTCAACTACGACAGACAAAATGAGGAAAAAAAATCCAGAAAATCACATTGTAGGATTTTTTATGAATTTATTTGCAAATTATGGTGGAAAATAAGTATTTGGTCAATAACAAAAGTTTCTCAATACTTTGTTATATACCCTTTGTTGGCAATGACACAGGTCAAACGTTTTCTGTAAGTCTTCACACACTGTTGCTGGTGTTTTGGCCCATTCCTCCATGCAGATCTCCTCTAGAGCAGTGATGTTTTGGGGCTGTCGCTGGGCAACACGGACTTTCAACTCCCTCCAAAGATTTTCTATGGGGTTGAGATCTGGAGACTGGCTAGGCCACTCCAGGACCTTGAAATGCTTCTTACGAAGCCCCTCCTTCGTTGCCCGGGCGGTGTGTTTGGGATCATTGTCATGCTGAAAGACCCAGCCACGTTTCATCTTCAATGCCCTTGCTGATGGAAGGAGGTTTTCACTCAAAATCTCACGATACATGGCCCCATTCATTCTTTCCTTTACACGGATCAGTCGTCTGGTCCTTTTGCAGGAAAACAGCCCCAAAGCATGATGTTTCCACCCCCATGCTTCACAGTAGGTATGGTGTTCTTTGGATGCAACTCAGCATTCTTTGTCCTCCAAACACGACGAGTTGAGTTTTTACCAAAAAGTTATATTTTGGTTTCATCTGACCATATGACATTCTCCCAATCCTCTTCTGGATCATCCAAATGCACTCTAGCAAACTTCAGACGGGCCTGGACATGTACAGCTTAAGCAGGGGGACACGTCTGGCACTGCAGGATTTGAGTCCCTGGCGGCGTAGTGTGATACTGATGGTAGGCTTTGTTACTTTGGTCCCAGCTCTCTGCAGGTCATTCACTAGGTCCCCCCGTGTGGTTCTGGGATTTTTGCTCACCGTTCTTGTGATCATTTTGACCCCACGGGGTGAGATCTTGCGTGGAGCCCCAGATCGAGGGAGATTATCAGTGGTCTTGTATGTCTTCCATTTCCTAATAATTGCTCCCACAGTTGATTTCTTCAAACCAAGCTGCTTACCTATTGCAGATTCAGTCTTCCCAGCCTGGTGCAGGTCTACAATTTTGTTTCTGGTGTCCTTTGACAGCTCTTTGGTCTTGGCCATAGTGGAGTTTGGAGTGTGACTGTTTGAGGTTGTGGACAGGTGTCTTTTATACTGATAACAAGTTCAAACAGGTGCCATTAATACAGGTAACGAGTGGAGGACAGAGGAGCCTCTTAAAGAAGAAGTTACAGGTCTGTGAGAGCCAGAAATCTTGCTTGTTTGTAGGTGACCAAATACTTATTTTCCACCATAATTTGCAAATTACATTCATAAAAAATCCTTCAATGTGATTTTCTGGAACAAGTATTTGATACATTGCCGATTTTGCAGGTTTTCCTACTTACAAAGCATGTAGAGGTCTGTAATTTTTATCATAGGTACACTTCAACTGTGAGAGACGGAAAATGACATTGTATGATTTTTAAGTAATTAATTTGCATTTTATTGCATGACATAAGTATTTGATACATCAGAAAAGCAGAACTTAATATTTGGTACAGAAACCTTTGTTTGCAATACAGAGATCATACGTTTCCTGTAGGTCTTGACCAGGTTTGCACACACTGCAGCAGGGATTTTGGCCCACTCCTCCATACAGACCTTCTCCAGATCCTTCAGGTTTCGGGGCTGTCGCTGGGCAATACGGACTTTCAGCTCCCTCCAAAGATTTTCTATTGGGTTCAGGTCTGGAGACTGGCTAGGCCACTCCAGGACCTTGAGGTGCTTCTTACGGAGCCACTCCTTAGTTGCCCTGGCTGTGTGTTTCGGGTCGTTGTCATGCTGGAAGACCCAGCCACGACCCATCTTCAATGCTCTTACTGAGGGAAGGAGGTTGTTGGCCAAGATCTCGCGATACATGGCCCCATCCATCCTCCCCTCAATACGGTGCAGTCGTCCTGTCCCCTTTGCAGAAAAGCATCCCCAAAGAATGATGTTTCCACCTCCATGCTTCACGGTTGGGATGGTGTTCTTGGGGTTGTACTCATCCTTCTTCTTCCTCCAAACACGGCGAGTAGAGTTTAGACCAAAAAGCTATATTTTTGTCTCATCAGACCACATGACTTTCTCCCATTCCTCCTCTGGATCATCCAGATGGTCATTGGCAAACTTCAGACGGGCCTGGACATGCGCTGGCTTGAGCAGGGGGACCTTGCGTGCGCTGCAGGATTTTAATCCATGACGGCGTAGTGTGTTACTAATGGTTTTCTTTGAGACTGTGGTCCCAGCTCTCTTCGGGTCATTGACCAGGTCCTGCCGTGTAGTTCTGGGCTGATCCCTCACCTTCCTCATGATCATTGATGCCCCACGAGGTGAGATCTTGCATGGAGCCCCAGACCAAGGGTGATTGACCGTCATCTTGAACTTCTTCCATTTTCTTCCAGTTGTTGCCTTCTCACCAAGCTGCTTGCCTATTGTCCTGTAGCCCATCCCAGCCTTGTGCAGGTCTACAATTGTATCCCTGATGTCCTTACACAGCTCTCTGGTCTTGGCCATTGTGGAGAGGTTGGAGTCTGTTTGATTGAGTGTGTGGACAGGTAATACAGGTAATGAGTGGTGAACAGGAGGGCTTCTTAAAGAAAAACTAACAGGTCTGTGAGAGACGGAATTCTTACTGGTTGGTAGGTGATCAAATACTTATGTCATGCAATAAAATGCAAAATAATTACTTAAAAATCATACAAATGTGATTTTCTGGATTTTTGTTTTAGATTCCGTCTCTCACAGTTGAAGTGTACCTATGATAAAAATTACAGACCTCTACATGCTTTGTAAGTAGGAAAACCTGCAAAATCGGCAGTGTATCAAATACTTGTTCTCCCCACTGTGTATATATATATATATACACACATACAGAGACAGAGACTTGTTGTGGTATGTCCCACAGCCTTCAGCAGGTATTGTTGGTATACATTATTAGCCCAACCGTCTGTGTTTGCTGGTATGAATTCAGACTCCACAAAATAAGTTCCCTCACAGGAAAATAACGTATTTATTTTGTATTGTAGTGTCTGCCTCTTCTGCTCTGTAATAACGCATGTGTTATTGGTTGTGTATATACAGGACTGCTTGCTGTGTATGATAATGTGTCTTATTGGTTTTTTATTTCCAGGAATGCTTTGCAGTGTAATAATGTGTGTGTTATTGGTTGTAGGAGTGGTTTGCGGTATACGTGGAGCTGAACCAGCAGATAGCAGCGTTATTGAGTGCTGGAGACGAGGAGGCTCTAGTGGAGCTGAAGGGTCTACAGCAGCAGCTCAGTGATGTCTGCTACAGACAGGCCAGCCAACTGGAGTCCAGGCAGAACGTACTGCAGTCAGCACACGAATTCCACGGCACTGCACAGGATGTATTTATCATGGATTAATTAATTGATTGATTGAATTTATTTGATAATAGAAAAATACCTATACAGCCAAGAACAAGAGTGACAGTGATTCTCACCAAGTCAATCCTTAGGGCCAGTACCTAGGGCCAGTCCCTTGGCACTTGTGTACTGTACATCTTTGAGGTTTTTATATTTGAAAGCAATATGGCAACAATCAGAGGGCAAGATGGAGCTACCACCACCCATATTGCTTACGCTTACCAAGTCCTCCAATCTACATGGAGTGGGGGTTGATTTGGGATTGTCATAATAATATAGACTTCTAACTGTATGGACTAGAGCTTTTTGTTGCCTTTGTACTAACGCCCCAGTTTACCCTCCCAGCTGTCCCAGCAACTGGATGGTCTACTGGGCATGCTCTGTGCAGACATGGCCCCTGCTGACGGAGCTGCCATCCAACAAACACTCAAACACCTCGAGGAGAAACTCAAGAGCGTTGGTAAGCACAATTTAATTGATATTATTATATTACTATTAATTTGTGTAATGTTATTATTCATTTAATTTTTAAGAAACAAAAACTCTATGGCTTATTTAAATGGGTAACTGCAAGAATAAGGTTTGGTTAGAATATTTTAATAGTGTTAGTTGGTTTGGTTATTGAGGAATATTCTCTGCTGTGGTGCTCTGTCCAGAGGGAGCCCTTGCAGGCCTGAGGGAGAAAGGTCAGGTCCTGATGGATCAGATGTCCAACCAGACGACCTGGTCCTATGGGAAGGACGTTCCCATCGAGAACAAAGAAAACATTGATCACATCCAAGGAGTCATGGAGGACATGCAACTCCGGAAACAAAGGTTTGCCCAGATGTATTTTTATAAATATATTCTTCTGAGCATGTAAGGCTCCAGCTGCTCCAGATAATGCTGAAGTTGTTTACAAAGCTTCCGCGAGTCAGACAATTTCTGGAATATCATGGAATTTTGGACATTGCAATGGAAATTGCCATGGAAATGACCATTGTCATGTTTTAAGAGTGTTTTGGTTCTGTCTAGATGTGAAGACATGGTGGATGTGAGGAGACTGAAGATGCTTCAGATGGTCCAGCTGTTCAAGTGTGAGGAAGATGCATCACAGGTCAGTCTATGGGCCTCCCCTTCTTCATCTCTGTCAGTTTGTTTGATGGTTTAAGCTCTGTTGGTTCTGGGTTGCATACTTCAACATGTCGCTGATGTGTTTGGTGACTTGTTATTATTGACATATTGTTTTTGACATGTTGTTGATGTGTTGTTGTTAAGAACACCTTGTAAACCTCATACCTGTGTTGATTCTCAGGCGGTGGAGTGGCTTGGCGAGCTGCTGGATGCTCTCCTGAAGACCCACATCAGGCTAGGGGACGATGCACAGGAAACCAAAGTGCTGCTGGAGAAACACAAGAAATTTGTGGATGTTGCACAGGTACTAATCTCTCGTGGCAAGCTGTTGACATACATGTACAGAACACAACCCTGAACACATTACCACAACCCTGATCATCTCTCTCTCTGTGTTTCAGAGCACCTATGACTACGGCCGTCAGCTGCTTCAGGCGACGGTGGTGTTGTGTCAGTCTCTACGCTGCACCACGCGCTCCTCTGGTGACACCCTGCCACGCCTCAACCGGGTCTGGAAACAGTTCTCTGTCACCTCTGAGGAGAGGGTCCATCGGCTGGAGATGGCATGCTCTTTCCACACTGCAGCTGAGAAGGTGGGTGGAGAATGGACAGTAGTTACTGTGAAAAGAATGAGACACTAAGAAAAGGCTTTTTCCCTGTCTAAAGCTTATTTGAGCCTATGGAAAACCTACGGGTTGTGGGGTTTCATGACATAAGGTAGTGATGAATGTTCTATCAGTGTATGAACCATACAGGCAACACTCAAGCCAACATTTTAGGTAAACAATTAGCAACTAAACTCCAGAACAGCCTCTTTAATGATCAGTGTTGTAGTGAGTCCGGTCTCGAGACCACATATTGAGTGTCTCGGTGTTGGATACATTTTTACTCGGTCTTGACTCTGTCTCGGACAATGAGGACTCGTAATTTCTCCCCGAGAGCAGCCGATACCAGAGGAGTAAAAAACTCATAATTTTCAGCTCCCATTCAGTCAGCTCATAAAACCACTTCGCCAGGCCAAATATCCACACTCCTTTCATGGCACTATGTTATTATCACCAATTGAAACCTGGGCTTCCTACTTTACTGGTAACATGACTGTCCTTTACTTTCACTGAAAAATATCCACAAACTTTGTCGCGCTCGTCTGAATTTCTTTCGATTCGCTGGAAGGGGAAATTGTTTGAAAGCTCACTAGGCTATTATTAAGGGGAGACCAGGGGGAGTTGTAACATATTTTGTATTTTTATCTATTATAGACCTGTTTGGGTTAGTGATCATTTGGAGAGTGACTATTTGTGGCTCTCTGTTTTCACCATTCTGAATGTCTAAAGAATCCATATGTTCTTTTGAAATATGAACACAGAAATACAGGACATTTTGAAATCTTATTATGGTGACGATTTGACAGAATTACAATCATGGTCTTGAATTGGACTCACATTTTTCTGTTCTCGGTCTTGACTCTGTCTCGGACCCATCACCCCCGTCTCGGTCTTGACTTGGTCTCACCCCCACTCCTTACACACCACCACCACCCCCCTCCGGTCTTGGTCTTGACTCTGACTCGATTTGCTTCGGAATTGGTCTTGAATCGGTCTCGCTAACAGAACACTGTTAATGATCCTCCTCTGTTTCCCTGCCCCCCTGTCTTCTCCATCCCAGGTGCTGGTCCAAGCCAGCCCAGAGCAGGGTGATCTCCGAGTGGAGGTGGAGCAGGAGACCTATGAGGAGGTAGAGACGGTGGGGAAGGCTCTACTGGACAGACTCACTGTCCCTGTTATATTCCCAGATGGGTAAGAAACAAAGGACAGGTCACACTAAGACCTGCATGACTTTAGTGACTCCCTGAAACTTGTCATGGTGCGGGTTATAGTCAATGCTGGTAAAGTAATTTACTCCTCAAGTACCAAACTTAATTTACGCTGGCATGGCAACTGATGTTATCCAGTCACTATAACCATTTATCAATGTCATGGAGTGTACATGAAGATGTTTGACGATCTAATGATGCATGCCACTTTAAGAGGAGAGCTGATGCCTTGTTGTTGATTCCTTCCCTCCACTATGTCCCCCTTTAGGAGTGAGCAGTACTTCGGCAGCCCAGGAGACATGGCGTCCTCTGCTGTACACATCCGGGACAAGATGAAGCTGGTGGAGGACAGGAAACTGACTCTGCACGAGGAAGATGAAGACTTTGAGCAGCTACAGTATGATCAGATACATGACCAGGATGAAGAACTACAAGATGATGAAGACCTACAAGATGACCAGGAACTACAAGAAGTGGACAAAGAACTACAAGATGGAGAGGAACTGGAACTGGAGACGAACACTCAGAAAAGCTAATGGAGCACCTTTAACAGCTAACCTAGTTCCAGATCAGTTTGTGGTGTCTCGACAAATCATATGGCCATTGGTGTGGCAATCATAGGAGTTTACAAGACAGCATAAACAGATCTGGGACCAGGCTACGAAACAGCAGCAGCCAGCAGTACACCAGAGATTCAGGACAGGAAAGAACACATTTTTACATTTTAGTCATTTAGCAGACGCTCTTATCCAGAGCGACTTACAGTTAGTGAGTGCATACATTTTCATACTGGCCCCCCGTGGGAAACGAACCCACAACCCTGGCGTTGCAAGCGCCATGCTCTACCAACTAACCTTTGTCATCACGTCAACACAGCGCCTGACCATCACGTGCTCCAGAACTAAAATCCTGTCAATCTCCCGGTGTGACTGCATTCATTCCATCTCAGTTGTACTCTGCCTCGCCAAGCCATATTAATTTACCAAGAGCAGTTAAAAATAGAATATGGTCCTCTGGGATCCACTTGCATTGCTTACCGTACATGACATGGAGATGAGGGGAGGAAACAAAAAGGAAGAGGCTGAAAGCACTGACTGAATTGAAATTGACTATTTCCCTTAAAGCTTTACCTTGCCTGTCGCTTGTTACTCTTAAGTCGCGTTCACACTGCACCTAGCCCAGGGCTAGTTTCAACCAGGGTTTGCCCTGGGCTAAGAACATGTAGTGTGAAAAGCCCTTAAGACAGATGACTCAAGCTTTTACATGGTGCTACTAAACCTTCTAGAATGTACAGAAAGCAAAGCACCATCTATCTCCTTGTTTTTACCTTACAGGTGCTGTTGAGTTTCTAGGCATTTCTCTTTCTTGTCAAACTGCCTTGTTTGACTATAAGCAATGTATTTTATATTTTCCCTCTGTTTTTCCCCGCAATACCTTCAAGTGGTTTCTGGAAGAAAAAAATAAAAATGTAAAAAGATGTGCCAATAAGTAAATCCATTCTCATTCTGAAGGCGTTTGAATTAGGCATTAACTGCCCAGCCGACTGTTTCCGTTGTAGACAGCCTGTTGTATATTGCGCAGATGGATGGGTGCCGTCAACCAGCTTTTAAGACATTTAAGCTGTTACTTGTGTGCATCAAGGTACAATGTAAAATCAGAGCTTTGTTAAAACCTAGATTAGAGTGGTAGATCCAGGGCTTTGTTTTTATTAATAAAATGTGAAATGAGAATGATGCTTCATCTCTTCATAGTTGTCATTCTAATGTATACATAAAGTACATATGCCTTTTGCATCGTGAGACATGCTATTGAAATATTAATTTTATATTTATTTTGTTTTGTATATTGGTATTTTACATGCCAGTGAAAGTCATAATGCTTGTGTTGTTTTTAGGTTTGCGAGGCTAATCATGTATTTCTTGAAAATCTGGTTCCTGTGAAATAAACAAGCAAACATTTGAAAGATTTCTTGGAGAGAATGTCATTTGTATTTCATAAGCATAGTCTTACAAGACAATGTATCTTCCACATACACAAGGTATGACGTCATGCTTAATTTAATTTTACACATGAAAGGCTTATTTTACAGACTAACTTAACTTTACCAGTTGTTGTCAGATTGAATAGGATATTTTAGGGTTCTCAAAAAAGCTGCCAAGCATTCACAAATCTTCAAGGTGTGTGTAGTCAGTACAGTAGCAGTATGAGAATGAGAACAGGCATCGTAAAATACCTTCCCTAAACTGGCATTCACACCTTACTGCTAAATTCTCAACAATCATTGCTAATTCACTTTAAAAGGGCAATATGCTGTTTTTTGGACATTTAAATTAATGCTATGCATTGATTGTTGGAGAATATCTATATTATAATACGCTAAGAATTCTAAGATGCGGGAGGATCTCCTACCATTTTGCGCCGATTTTATTCATTTTATGCTAAAAAAAGTGAGTCCTCTTACATCCAGCTGCAGTGTTTTGTAAAATGTTTTGGCCCGAATGCAAATTAACTTGACATTCCAAATTACCATTTAATAAAGCCCTGAGTGATTATTTCTACCAGGGTTCATTGGGTTGGCCAAAGAAACAGAACACTACAGTGTTTTGCAAAACTATTCATCCCCCTTGGCGTTTTTCCTATTTTGTTGCATTACAACCTGTAATTTAAATGGATTTGGATTTCATGTAATGGACATACACAAAATAGTCAAAATTGATGAAGTGAAATGAAAAAAATAACTTCTTTAAAATAATTATACAAAATAAATGACGGAAAAGTGGTGCGTGCATATGTATTCACCCCCTTTGCTATGAAGCCCCTAAATAAGATCTGGTGCAACCAATTACCTTCAGAAGTCACATAATTAGTTAAATAAAGTCCAACTGTGTGCAATCTAAGTGTCACATGATCTGTGAGTATATATACACCTGTTCTGAAAGGCCCCAGAGTCCGCAACACCATTAAGCAAGGGGCACCACCAAGCAAGCGGCACCATGAAGACCAAGGAGCTCTCCAAACAGGTCAGGGTCAAAGTTGTGGAGAAGTACAGATCAGGGTTGGGTTATAAAAAAATATCTGAAACTTTGAACATCCCACGGAGCACCATTAAATCCATTATTAAAAAATGGAAAGAATATGGCACCACAACAAACCTGCCAAGAGAGGGCCTCCCACCAAAACTCACGGACCAGGCAAGAAGTCCATTAATCAAAGAGGCAACAAAGAGACCAAAGATAACCCTGAAGGAGCAGCAAATCTCCACAGCGGAGATTGGAGTATCTGTCCATAGGACCACTTTAAGCCGCAGTGAGCTGGGCTTTACGGAAGAGTGGCCAGAAAAAAGCAATTGCTTAAAGAAAAAAATAAGCAAACACGTTTGGTGTTCGCCAAAAGGCATGTGGGAGACTCCCCAAACATATGGAAGAAGGTACTCTGGTCAGATGAGACTAAAATTTAGCTTTTTGGCCATCAAGGAAAACGCTATGTCTGGCGCAAACCCAACACCTCTCATCATCCCGAGAACACCATCCATGTTTTTCATCGGCAGGGACTGCGAAACTGGTCAGAATAGAAGGAATGATGGATGCCGCTAAATACAGGGAAATTCTTGAGGGAAACCTGTTTCAGTCTTCCAGAGACTTGAGACTGGGACGGAGGTTCACCTTCCAGCAGGACAATGACCCTAAGCATACTGCTAAAGCAACACTCAAGTGGTTTAAGGGGAAACATTTAATTGAGAATCTGTGGTGTGACTTAACAATTGCTTTACACCAGCGGAACCCATCCAACTTGAAGGAGCTGGAGCAGTTTTGCCTTGATGAATGGGCAAAAATCCCAGTGGCTAGATGTGCCAAGCTTATAGAGACATACCCCAAGAGACTTGCAGCTGTAATTGCTGCAAAAGGTGGCTCTACAAAGTATTGACTTTGGGGCGGTGAATAGTTATGTACGCTCAAGTTTTCAGTTTCTTTGTCTTATTTCTTGTTTGTTTCACAATAAAAAACATTTTGCATCTTCAAAGTGGTAGGCATGTTGTGTAAATCAAATTATACAAACACCCCAAAAAATCTATTTTAATTCCAGGTTGTAAGGCAACAAAATAGGAAAAATGCCAAGGGGGGTGAATACTTTCGCAAAGCAAAATAAAGAAATATCACTATTGCGTCATCCTGCCAATGCTACTATGACATCGCTGAAGATGGTAGTTTCAAAATTCAAACTGTCATTAATAATTATTGCATCATCATTTATCCCATGATGACATCACTTCAGCCCCCCTTCCCCCCCCCCCCCCCCCCCTCCTAAAAAACGGTCCGTGATATTTATTTCCCCCACCCAAGAGAGGGACATGTGGCCCAGTTCGCAGACAATCTCTGTTATTGGGCCTCCTCTGAGAACTTTGCCCATGCTGGAAAAAAGCTACAGGAGAGCATAACAGAGATCAAATATAAAACAGATATAAAAAATATAAAAATCAAGAACTGGGCCAATCTGTGGCAGGGTAAGCTCAACCCCCTGAAGAACAAGTGCGTCCTCTTCTCCAGGCACCCCAAAAGAACACAAACACACACACATACATACATGAACCTTCAGGACTGAGAACAGTTGAGGAGAGGATGGCTGTTCTGGGGCGCAGGTTTACCCTCAGATCAGTGGACAACCCATCTCTGAAGCCCATGATTCAGGAGGAACAAGCTGACCCACACAGATTTGTATCCAGCACCCCCCTCTACGTGCTTCTTAAATATTGAGAATTTTTATCAGACTTTAACATCTCTACACTTCTTTACATTTTTCATCCATTAAAGTTTGTTTTAATCAAATCAAGTCGAGGAAGACAAAACAACTCCACCCCTCCCACTTGTACCTTGCCCAACCTGACCTTCAACCAGACAGATAAAATGGAGAAGAGGGATAGAAGAGGGCACGAAGCCCTGAGATGTCCCTATCAGTCCCAAAGTTCGTCATCGCAGAGCACCCACAAGCGCTGCCGCCCCATGGTGTCCTGGCGGCGTCACAGGAGAGGAGGCCGCAGGAGGCGTTAGACAGGCCGGGTAACCTACCTGGCCTAACTGCCCTTTCCCGCTTCTCCCTCCCGACCGTAGTGTAGAGATGTTAAAGTCTGCTGAAATAAAATATGAGCTTTTAACTAAAACTGTTACGACTTTGACTTTTTATTATTAGATGGTTTATAAGAGTTTTAGAGTAGAGTTAATAAAATATAATAGATAATAAGAGCCTAATCTGTTAGGAATAGATACAATTAAAACATTGAATCATTGTGTCTGTCCTTAACAAATAAATAAATAGCCTACATTAAAACAATGTATTTATTTAAAATATTGAAGGTGAGGACTAGAGAGTATACAGCTACGAACAGAATGTACTTTTCTGTGCAGGTAAGGAGAACTTACACAGCAGGTTAGGATAATTAACATAGTAGGTTAGGATAATTAGGTTAAGGTTAGGACAATGGTTAGGTTTAGTGTTAGTTAAAATGCTAAAATTCTCCATTCAATCATCAACATTCAAGTCAGATTCATTGCACCATTATGGTTTAGTTTGCGCTCATTTGCAGCATAGGCCTACAATTTCATGATCCAAAGGTTGGATTACAAGTTCTAACCATTATAGATGGCAAATCATTAATTCATAAACATTTACTATAGCTATAACATTGCACAACATTGACAGACAACTAAAGGAAGAGAATAGACAGGGTAATATACACTCTGGCCAGTTTATTAGGTACACCCATCTAGCACCGGGCCGGACCCCGCTTTGCCTCCAGAACAGCCTGAATTCTTTGGGCATGGAAACTCAATTGGTATCAAGGGACCTAACATGTGCCAGGAAAACATTCCCCACACCATTACAACACCGCTGACAACTGGCAGGATGGGGCCATGGACTCATGCTACTTATGCCAAATCGGAACCCTGAGCTAGGCGAACCAAACGAGTGCGCTCGCATACTCCCTTAAAATACCGTTGCTTGAAAAACTAGAAAAAAACACAACAGTACTCTTTGTCAATTTTGAGATGCTGTAGACAGTATACACTTCCTCAAAATAGTCTGAATGAATCTAACATAACTGAAAGAAATCTGTCATTAATTTTGACGTTTTGCCGAGGAGATCATTGTCATGCAATTTTACATCTAACTAAGATGTTTGGATCAGTATTTCTCAATGAACAAATTTGCATGAAAACGAGTCGTCTCTCTTTGAATGCAACAAAGACTTTATTGAAGAATCCCTACAGTTGACCAATGTGTGTGCCCGAACAGCCGAAAAAAACCTTACAGAAGTCCAAAACAAACAAAAACATCACAAAATGTAATCATAATATATGCACGAACTCTTCCGAACTGTAGGCATAATTTACAGGCAGCTGGGTGACAAGCAAGTACAGTTCTGTTTTGAATATTTCAGTACACCTACTGTAATATAAATATGGTATCAAAGCAAGTACTGTGTAATGACACACAGTATAATACCGTAACATGTACTGTATTGTACTGTAAAAAAAATAAAAATAAAGTTAATGCTACCATAATCGGAATGAATGAATTAAAATAATTGAGGGGAGGGGTTTGTATTTCACAGTATTTTACTGTAATTACAAGGGATTGGTGCAACCAGGTTGGCTGCTAAGTAAAGTGTTTACACATAACCGTATTTATTTTGTAGCATTACACTTGCACTTCTATAGGCCTAAGAAAGGCTTCCAAACTGGCAGCAACTACAGGGCAAAACAGACCAAAAGGACATGGCAAAATGCTGAACAATTTCAGGCTAAAATTAGCTGCCACTCCAATCTGTCCCCTAGACATTTTAAATTAACGAGGAACTGTAACCAACCACATTGTAGTTAAATTGGTACAGTATTCTCACTCACGGGTGCAACAAATATAACCTCTTACAAGGCACGCCTCAAAATATGTTAATGAGCCAGAAACAACAATACTGTAGCGACCCGCACAGACAGCTGTGTGTTATGTGTTAGGCTAGTAGATGGTTGTGTTGTACCTACCAGTACCCAGTGTTCGCGGGGTCCGACATGTCAATCAACCTGCTATCTGCCAATCACGGGAATGCCTGGAATGTTCTGATGCCGGGCATCCTGGCGGTTGGCGGAGTGGCGTGGAGGGGGGTTGGGCAGGGGGATGGAGCATTGGAAGTTATGACCAGGTTTAGCCTTTGTTCTCTCTCTTTTTTACGTCTGGGCTTCACAAGAGAAGGTCACGATTGGCTTGTGGGTTATCTTTCATTTATTTGGCGTGGGCTACGGCCAAACAGTAGCCTGTGTAAAGTTGGTTTAATAAACCGTCCATTCGTAAACTCAATCCTCTGTCTGGACAGTTGTTCTTTTCTGATCTAGTCAGGTCATTACATTAAGGCACGCCTCAAAATATGTTAATGAGCCAGAAACAACAATACCATGCACCCATTAGTGGTCAAAAGGTTTTTGGCGCTCCAAAGATACGGTGACATTATGCATCACAAGAGTAATTCCATTTCTATTGTAAACTGCTGTTTTTTAATACTGTAGATATGGATAACATGGGTTAGGCCTATCAAAACATGCGCCACCGACACACGCAGCAGCGAGAATGGCATTGAATCTAAATATAAATGTTCAATCATTTACCACCCGTGAGGGCAGGGTACCACCAGTTTAATATACTGTAGGTTATTTCACAAAAGAGACCTAGTGGATACTGAATAGGGTGCCATTCAATGCAACAACAACGTCATCTTTTTTTTTTACAGGGCGGGATTAGATTGTCGTCACCTGGGAGAGGCAGACTGGCTCAGCAGGTAAAACCTTCAGAGAGGTGTCCTCTTCAGAATGCGGTAAGGTTGCTCCTGCTCAGTAACCTTATATCAGGGTAGTAATGTCATTATGACTCACAGACATTCTTAAAGGTATAATCCACCCCAAACCACTAATTATTATGATTAACATTGTTAAACAGTGTTAAAAAAACACTAATAGACTATGTGAAAATTATAAATTTTGGTGAACAAATGTTTCACTTTGTCATTATAACAAGGTTGGTAGCAACATGTGAACATCGTTGCAAAACCCACAATACAATGCTATCTCTCTGGGCTTGCTAACTAGTTAGGTAGCTAGCTAGCAAACATAGCTACACACAATAATACCAAAGCCAATATCAGCATGCGAAGTAGTTAGCTAGCTGTAAAATTGCCTTAAAAACCTGCGCTATCAATTTAGGAGCCTTTCTCACAAGTTCAATTTACAGTTTGACTGCCCAGAGCAAGTGCAGAGTACAGAGTGCATAGCCCTTTCCCACGTTTCCCATAGACACACAGGGCGCATTACAAGATGGTATTTAAAGGATAAACTGTGTTGAATAATTTGGTACACTGTTTAGATTGAGCACATCAAAGCGAAATCTACTTTGTCATGACGATATAAATGGATGGATGTGTTCTAGACAAGTATGCCCATACCATCTGGCTGATTTGGCGATCTGGAGTGCAGGTAATTGTTTTAAAAGCGTTATGAAATGTGATAGTGCGTTATCCCCTATCTCCAGCGACGAGAACCATGTATGACGCGTAGAGTCGATATCCACTCTTATAAACCAAGGTCGCTACAATATGAAAAGAGGGCAAAATTCCATACCTTACTGACTTATTACTGTAACCATGTAGCCTATGTAAATACATATACCAAATGGTAGAATAGAATACCCAATGGAATATTGAAGAACACTGGTTCAGAATAAGAAGATGTGTATTTGCAGTGGAGAACCACCCATGATTTACCTCCTTCTTGCTGCTAATACTTTGTCTCAATTTTTAATAAAATGTGAAGTTGTGAGAATGTATAAACAGCATATAGTTTATGTCAGTGCTTGACTTGGACTGAGGTAGGTGCTGTTAACCATTTTGGGTGCCGGGTACTGTTTATATTTAGGTGCTGGAGCTCCACAATACTTTTGAGCTAATATTTTATAAGAGGTGCAGGAGCTCAAGCAGCAGAAAATTTGAGGTGCCAGTACTCAGCTCCGGTGAGCTCCTGCCCAAGTCAAGCACTTGTTTATATATACAATTCTTTTTGGAAGAGAAAATACTTTAGATTAACCATTTGTAATGGGGAATATTTAAGATGTATGTTTCCCCTTTTAAGGAATAAACATGATTTGCAGTGTTCTATTTGTGACACTTGTTTGTGTAAGGGTTGATGGTCAATAGGCTCTGTGCTGTATGTTATGTATTAAACTAATAATATAGTGATTGAAGCCAGACTGGATGTACAAGGATCGGGGACATTGATACTCTGTATGTTATTGTATTGATGACCTTATGAACACTATGTCATTCTGTAGCAGCTGGCAAGTCACTGTCTTTTGTTGTAACTCCATACAAACCTCCCAGGTTGATGTTCACGGAACACTGGTGCTGTTAGACTGGAATATTAGGGCCTGCTTAGAGAAGGTGAGTTAGACATTTTTCTAGGCTTCTGTGTGAGGTGTCTCCCTGTTTGCAAACTTGTATTAAACCAAATTGATTTATGATTGACTATATCCGCGACTGCTCTGCTCTTTTGTTCACCTGAAATCCTCTTTTACACATTTGAGCCTCACAAAAGAGTTGCTCTGGGTTTTAGTCACGTGATAAGACCCATCCTACCTGTTGGAACTGTCAAACTGGTTATGCCATAATCCTAACCAACCACACACAACCAGATAAAGGGAGGTAGGGAGGGGTAGGAGGTGGTGCTAGAGAGTTGGACAATCCATCCTCTTCACTCTTTACAAAGATTTTGAAGTTTGAGGTGTTTTTTGTGTTCTTTGACAGTGATTTCAATTACTACGAAGCATCTTATTAACTAACAAGAAAACTACCCAGGAAGAGGAAAAAAGGACCAGGAAGGACATTAAGCGTCGGCTATACTGTAGAGAAAAGGAAGAGCAACAAAGCAGTTCATAGCGTTGCTTCAGGCTTCATGCTGTAGCCTATGGGAGGACTATGGTAACAAACGAGTCATAGAAACTCACTCATACGACCACACATTTTCATTGACTCAGTGAATAAGGTAAACTATTTAATAGTCACTGTGCTCTCTGCCACACAACATTCATATTGTAAAGACATAGGTGATATGTACTTATATGGACATAGGTGATATTTACTTATATAGACATAGGTGATATATAGATATTCATACAGTATATACACAGATAAAGTCCAGCAGACACACATACATTCACACGGGGACAAATACATAGACTGAAAGAACATCAAGAACCAACACCCACACAAACTCCCAGAGGCAGCCATGAGGTTTATAGTGGTGCTAGGAGGCCTAACTATCCTGATCTCCATGGGCCTGGCCCTGATTGTCTTTGGCCAGCACCTGACGGAAGCCAACCTGACCCTGCAGAACCTGCATCTGGATCAGAGGGTGCGGGCACGCGCCAACCAATTCAAGGAGAGGCAGTGGCTGGAAAACCTGCTGAAGGGGCAGCTAGACTGGAAGAAGAAGAATGTGGAGGAGATGGAGGCCGAGGTGAACAAGCTGACCGAAGAGGAGGGGAAGAAGAAGACTGAGGTCGAGGCCTGCCAGGCAGACAAGGTGAGAGACAGATAATTACTGTTCTATACATACTAGACAGACCTGGGTTGAATACTGTACATATAGACCATTGGTGTACTATAAAGACCATGACTGCCCAACACTCTTCATGGAGATCTACTGTCCTGTTCGTTTTCAGTCCAACCCTAAACTAACATACCTAATTCAGCTAGATAAGGCATTGGTGAGCAGCTAAAAGTAGAATCAGGTGTGCTAAATTAGGGTTGGAGCGAAAACCTGCATGACAGTATCTCTCCAGGAACAGGGTTGGGCTGCCCTGCACTGGACAGACCTGGGTCAAATACTGCACATGCAGGTATGTCAAATAATGGAGATGTTCTTGATTTTGTTTTCCTGGTACAATGGATCAAATGGAATTGTCCCAAAAGTGTAAACCCCAAGCATTGAACAGTGATGACAATGGCTTGGGGCTGTGTAGCTTGGAACATGGTGCACTAAACCAGAGCAATCAAAAAAGCAATTGAAAGTATTTAACATTTGACCAAGGTTGGTATATGGTGCTTGTCAACCCACTGGGCACACACTGGTTGAATTAACATTTTCCCCACGTAATTTCAATGAAATGACGTCAAACAAACCTGGAATAGACGTCGAATTGACGTCTGTGCGCAGTGGGAAGTGCCGAGTAGAAAGATTTGAAGGTCTCAGATAAGGATTTTTAGTATGTACAGCATACAGTAGGTGTAAATGTAATTTTTCCCCTTTACCTATATTTTGAGTTATCTCTCACTTTCGGCACAAAGAAACAAAAGGAGGACGAACTTGGACCCATACAGAAGGAGCAGAGTGATATTGAAGGTATGTGAGTCTTTTCTAGTAGAGTTGTTATTCCTGTAGCCACTTGTGCCACAAAGTGGTGTAATCTGGTAGCATGTCAGTCACTGTAGTAGAGTGCATCTCTCTCTCTGGGTGCATTTCTTCAGTGGCTTCCCTTTGCCTCTCTTCTCTGCTCTTCTCTTCTGATCTCATCTCCATGTCTCGTCTCCTCAGCTACGTTCAAAACTGAAAAGGAGACTTGGACTGGGGAGATCACCACTCTCAAACAGCAGTTGGAGCAGAGTAGCAAAGTGTGTTATTTTGTAAAGGACTCAACAGACACAGTGTAAGTAGCAGATTTGTATTACCTAGAACAATAGAACTGTACTGCTCTACTTTGGGTGAAACATCAAAGAAAGTTTATAATGATAATAAAACCTTTTGTTTTCTCCAGGAAATTATGTCCACCCAAAGAAGGAGCAGCAAAAGCTGAAGCGGCCCCTGTACAAGGAGGTGAACCTGCCTCTGCAAAAGCTGAACCTGCCTCTGCAAAAGCTGAAGCGGCCCCTGTACAAGGAGGTGAACCTGCCTCTGCAAAAGCTGAACCTGCCTCTGCAAAAGCTGAAGCGGCCCCTGTACAAGCTGAAGCATCCCCTGTAAAAGCTGAAGAGGCCCCTGCACAAGCTGAAGCAGCCCCTGTAAAAGCTGAAGAGGCCCCTGCACAAGCTGAAGCAGCCCCTGCACAAGCTGAAGCAGCCCCTGCACAAGCTTAAGCAGCCCCTGTAAAAGCTGAAGCAGCCCCTGTAAAAGCTGAATAAGCCCCTGTAAAAGCTGAAGAGGCCCCTGCACAAGCTGAAGCTGCCCCTGCACAAGCTGAAGAGGCCCCTGTAAAAGCTGAAGAGGCCCCTGCACAAGCTGAAGCAGCCCCTGCTCCAAAGCAGTAAATCTCTCCAATTTTCTCTCAGAATAACATTAATGTTGTGTAGTCATTCATTCATGATGCGCACTCATATTTATGTTGTTTGTTTGTGGGTAATCTTGGAAACCCAGAACCGAAAATCTCATGTAAACTATACTATTTATGTTATGTAGTTTGTCCACAAGAGATTAGGTTGTGGGCATTGTCAGTGTGTCAGTTTGGCACACTATGTAGCCTAAAGTAATTAGGTGCTGTTTGTTTTTAAAAACTATTAATATCTTATCCGTTTTTAAATAAATGTTTAGTTTTTCATTAAATTTTTTATAAAGCCTATTAGTTAGGCACAGAAATCACTGAAAGAGAAAACCACTGCCTTCCCCTGATGATGGCTCATGTGATGAAGAGGGTGGAACCCCTATCAAACCTGTACAGTTCAATACCAATATAACTTAGACCGTTAAAGTTTTAATACAGCCTACCTTATCATCATCGACTGCCGTGGTAAAACATAATATCAAATCACATTTTATTGGTCACATACACGTGTTTAGCAGATGTTATTGTGGGTGTAGCGAAATAATTGTGCTTCTAGCACCGACAGTGCAGTAATATCTAACAAGTAATATCTAACAATTCCACAACATATACCCAATACACACAAATCTAAGTAAGGAATTAATGAAGAATATATACAGTTGAAGTCGGAAGTTTACATACACCTTAGCCAAATACATTTAAACTCAGTTTTTCACAATTCCTGACATTTAATCCTAGTAAAAAATCCCTGTCTTAGGTCAGTTAGGATCACCACTTTATTTTAAGAATGTGAAATGTCAGAATAATAGTAGAGAGAATTATTTATTTAAGCTTTTATTTCCATCATCACATTCCCAGTGGGTCAGAAGTTTACATACACTCAATTAGTATTTGGTAGCATTGCCATTAAATTGTTTAACTTGGGTCAAACGTTTCGGGTAGCCTTCCACAAGCTTACCACAATAAATTGGGAGAATTTTGGCCCATTCCTCCTGACAGAGCTGGTGTAACTGAGTCAGGTTTGTAGGCCTCCTTGCTCGCACATGCTTTTTCAGTTCTGTCCACAAATGTTCTATAGGATTGAGGTCAGGGCCTTGTGATGGCCATTCCAATACCTTGACTTTGTTGTCCTTAAGCCATTTTGCCACAACTTTGGAAGTATGCTTGGTGTCATTGTCCATTTGGAAGACTCATTTGTGACCAAGCTTTAACTTCCTGACTGATGTCTTCAGATGTTGCTTCAATATATCCACATAATTTTCCTTCCTCATGATGCCATCTATTTTGTGAAGTGCACCAGTCCCTCCTGCAGCAAAGCACCCCCACAGCATGATGCTGGCACCCCCGTGCTTCACGGTTGGGATGGTGTTCTTCGACTTGCAAGCACCCCCTTTTTCCTCCAAACATAACAATGGTCATTATGGCCAAACTATTTTTGTTTAATCAGACCAGAGGACATTTCTCCAAAAAGTACGATCTTTGTCCTCATGTGCAGTTGCAAACCGTAGTCTGGCTTTTTTAAGGCGGTTTTGGAGCAATGGCTTCTTCTTTGCTGAGTGGCCTTTCAGGTTATGTCGATATAAGACTTGTTTTACTGTGGATATAGATACTTTTGTACCTGTTTCCTCCAGCATCTTCACAAGGTCCTTTGCTGTTGTTCTGGGATTTATTTGCACTTTTCGCACCAAAGTACGTTCATCTTTAGAATGCGTCTCCTTCCTGAGCGGTATGACGGCTGCGTGGTCCCATGGTGTTTATGCTAGCGTACTATTGTTTGTACAGATGAACGTGGTACCTTCAGGTGTTTGAAAATTGCTCCCAAGGATGAACCAGACTTGTGGAGGTCTACCATTTTTTTTCTGAGGTCTTGGCTGATTTCTTTAGATTTTCCCATGATGTCAAGCAAAGAGGCACTGAGTTTGAAGGTAGGCCTTGAAATACATCCACAGGTACACCTGCAATTGACTCAAATGATGTAAATTAGCCTATCAGAAGCTTCTAAAGCCATGACATCATTTTCTGGAATTTTCCAAGCTGTTTAAAGGCACAGTCAACTTAGTGTATGTAAACTTCTGACCCACTGGAATTGTGATACAGTGAATTATAAGTGAAATAATCTGTCTGTAAACAATTGTTGGAAAAGTTACTTGTGTCATGCACAAAGTAGATGTCCTAACCGACATGCCAAAACTATAGTTTGTTAACAAGAAATGTGTGGAGTGGTTGAAAAATGAGTTTTAGTGACTTAAGTGTATGTAAACTTCCGACTTCAACTGTACACTACCAGTCAAAAGTTTGGACACACCTACTCATTCAAATGTTTTTCTTTATTTTTCTTATTTTTTTACATTGTATAATAATAGCGGAGACATCAAAACTATGAAATAACACATATGGAGTCATGTAGTAACCAAAAAAGTGTTAAACAAATCAAAATATATTTCAGATTATAGATTCTTCAAAGTAGCCTTGATGACAGCTTTGCACACTTTTGGCATTCTCTCAACCTGCTTCACCTGGAATGCTTTTCCAACAGTCTTGAAGGAGTTCCCACATATGCTGAGCACTTGTTGGCTGCTTTTCCTTCACTCTGTGGTCCGACTCATCCCAAACCATTTCAATTGGGTTGAGGTCAGGGGATTGTGGAGGCCAGGTCATCTGATGCAGCACTCCATCACTCTCCTTCATGGTAAAATAGCCCTTACACAGCCTGGAGGTGTGTTGGGTCATTGTCCTGTTGAAAAACAAATGATAGTCCCACTAAGCCCAAACCAGATGGGATGGCGTATTGCTGTAGAATGCTGTGTGAGCCATGCTGGTTAAGTGTGCCTTGAATTCTAAATATATCACCGACAGTGTCACCAGCAAAGCACCCCCACACCATAACACCTCCTCCTCCATGCTTTATGGTGGTCAATACACATGTGGAGATCATCCGTTCACCCACACCGGGTCTCACAAAGACACGACGGGTTGGAACCAAAAATCTCCAATTTGGACTCCAGACCACAGGACTAATTTCCACCGGTCTAATGTCCATTGCTCGTGTTTCTTGGCCCAAGCAGGTCTCTTCTTCTTATTGGTGTCCTTTAGTAGTGGTTTTAGTAGCATTTATTTGGGCTGCAATTTTTGAGGCTGGAAACTCTAATGAACTTAACCTCTGCAGCAGCGGTAACTCTGGGTCTTCCATTCCTGTGGCGGTCCTCATGAGAGCCAGTTTCATCATAGCACTTGATGGTTTTTGCGACTGCACATAAAGAAACTTTCAAAGTTCTTGAAATTGTCCATATTGACTGACCTTCATGTCTTAAAGTAATGATGGACTGTCGTTTCTCTGTGCTTATTTGATCTGTTCTTGCCATAATATGGACTTGGTCTTTTACCAAATAGGGCTATCTTCTGTATACCACCCCTACCTTGTCACAATACAACTGATTGGCTCAAACGCATTAAGAAAGAAATAAATTCCATAAATTAACTGTTAATTGAAATGCATTCCAGGTGACTACCTTATGAAGCTGGTTTAGAGAATGCCAAGAGTGTGCAAAGCTGTCATCAAGGCAAAGCGTGGCAATTTGAAGAATCTCAAATATAAAATATATTTTGATTTGTTTAACACCTTTTTGGTTACTACATGATTCCATTTGTGTTATTTCATAGTTTTGATGTCTTCACTATTATTCTACAATGTAGAAAATAGTCAAAATCATTGAGGAGTATTGTTTCAGAATGTCCTGTATCCCTGGGATACCATGCTGTCACAATGTAAACGATATAAAAACATTTATAAAACGGGTTGTTTGGATCCTGGATGCTGATTGGTTGTTAGAAGGGAGTTATAGCACGACAATCCCTGCATTCACCGGGTAATGCCTGTTAACAGTTCCATTAGATTTATCAATGTGCATCCACTGTCCCACTAGCCTGGCTGACGCAACTCACGTGACCTCACAGCAAGGAAGAGCTGTGACTCACTGGTCTGGAAAGGAGACCGATTATTAATGCAATATTAGCTCAGAAATTGAGCGGACGGATTGATTGGTTCTCTCAAAAGTATTTTTTCCCAGGGGGTTGAGACCTCTCCTTGTTTGGATTTGAAAATCCAACAGTTGTAATGGAAGGGGGCGGCGCTCAGGGGCTTTGTGAGGCTGTGCCTGTAGGTGTTTGAGTGAGAAAGACACGGAGGAGAACCAACCAGTAAAATCACAGCCCTCTTTCATTATTAATGCATCGTGCTGATAACATAAAAACAGCCTTTCCAGACTCTCAAGTCAGGAGCACTTCGAGTTTGGTATCAGTCAGACCATTGTCCCACAGCCCATCCAGTCAATTTATATTATAGCCTTAACTTAATCTCCCCTATTAAAAAGCATCTAGACAATATTTCCCCATGCTACTAGGCTAGCATTTGGTTTGCAACAGTTAGGGTTTGTCTAAACCTTGCTGTCTGCCTCTCCAACCTGTGGAAGCTTTTTTGCGATCTCCACCGTGCCATGCATATGAACGTGACGAGACTGACAGTTTCTCTGAGCCAGACAAATTCATTTATCAGGATCATTATAATGGATATATGCAAGGAAATGGCAGTAGAAACAAACAAATGTAAAACAAAGGAAAGTACACATAGTTTGCTGTCATTTCAGCTGCTTGATGTGATTGTGTGTTAGCTTTAGTTGGCTAGAGCAAAGGAGAAGTACTGTAGCTACACGCCAATGATTTGTTTAGCATAGCATTGTAAAAATAATGGATAGAATGATTGACCAACCCATTTCGCTAGCAATTTCAGACCTCATTATAACAAAAAATAATGTTTTGCAT